TTCGATTTTCAATTATGAATAATTAATTAATGACCAATTAATTATTTGTAGCCTACCGTTTAAACTACCAGACCTGCATGGTCTTTGTTTTACCGATAAACAAATCATACGGTAAATGAATAAAGGCAAGATACACACATAATTACCACCTGTCAATCACTTTTTCTGTCGGGACTCGTGAATAGGCAGTGATCTGTGTCGTTATAATGGCGTCGGTAAAAAAGTTGCACAACCAACAGGAACCAGCCAACAGTATCTGAGGTGTTCGCTAAAATGACTAAGTACAAGTGAGTGAAAGATTGAAGCAGCCCTCTGATTGCCTGGACCTGCTGTCTGGAGCGCATATGGCTGTGTGCGTCTGCGTCTGTGTGGTCACGTGATGTGCATTTTCAGAGGTAGAGAGGAAGGAGGGCTGCTCAGAAATGCTACACGCCACTGTGGATGTCAAATCGTTGTCGTTCTAAAATGCCATTTAAAAACAAAGACAGTGTAAACAGGGCTTGAGTGTGTACTTTTCGCGAGAGGATTTGCAACGGAGGCAGGCGGAGGATCGCGATGCCGGTGTTGTCTATCGGACGAACCGTACGTAATACGTACATAGCAGAGCTTGCAAAACTGTGTTTTTTGTCGACAACACAAACGTCCAAAACGCTTACGAGGAGAGGAGAGGGTTTAAGTTCTGTCGACGGGTCTCCAGCTTCTGCAGTTTAACAAGCACTTCAACAAGCCTGTTTTTTCCCGCTTGGCAAGCCAAGCTGACGTGACATGGGGGCGTGGCAGCATCGACGATTCAATTTTTTGATTCGATAATCGAAATTGAGGATAAATTTCGATCGATTTCGATTAAAAATTAAAAATTCGATTAAAAATCGATTCAATTCGAATTTAATCGATTCGATTAAAAATTACAAATTTCGATTAAAAATCGAAATTCGGTCGATTTCGATTAAAAATTAAAAATCGAAATCGTGACACCCCTAATTGGTATACATTGCATAATTGTTTAAATTGCAACATCCTAATGCTATTTAGCACCTAAAGTGCTTTTTTTAAGTCGGTGGCATAGCAAAGTTATTTAATTTTAGCTGTTGTTGATTTGTCGTTATTTTCATCGTTACTTGTGTAATGGTATACTGCACATAGTAATTGTTTAATTTATTTATTGTTTATATTCTGGCAAGTGGCAACATCTTAATGAAAGTGTTATTCTTAAGTTGGTGGCGTAACAAAGTTATTTAATTTTAGTTGTTGTTGATTTGTCGTTATTTTTAACGTCACTTTCATAATGGTCCACAGCATATAGTAATTGTTTTCATTTATTTATTATCCTATATTCTGGCAACATCTTAATGAAAGTGCTTTTTAGGTTAGTGGCGTAGTAAAATTATTTAGTTTTAGCTGTTTTTTATTTGTCGTTATTTTTATTGTTACTTGCATAATGGTACACAGCATATAGTAATTGTTTTCATTTATTTATTGTCTATATATTCTGGCAACATCTTAATGAAAGTGCTTTTCTTTAGTCGGTGGCGTAGCAAAGTAATTTAATTTTAGCTGTTGTTGTTTTGTCGTTATTTTCATCTTGTATAATGGTATACAGCAAATGGTAATTGTTTAATTTATTTATTGTCTATATATTTTGACAACATCTTAATGAAAGTGCTATTCTTAAGTCAGTGGCATAGCAAAGTTATTTAATTTTAGCTGTTGTTGATTTGTCGTTGTTTTCATTGTTGATTGTATAATGGTACAGTATACTGCATATAGTAATTGTTTAATTTACTTATTTTCTATATATTCTGGCAACATCTTAATGAAAGTGCTATTTTTAGGTCGGTGGCGTAGCAAAGTTATTTAATTTTAGCTGTTGTTGATTTGTCATTTTTAGTTTTACTTTTGTAATGGTATACTGCATATAGTAATTGTTTAATTTATTTACTGTCTATATATTTTGACAACATCTTTATAAAAGTGTTATTCTTAAGTCGTTGGTGTAGCAAAGTTATTTAATTTTAGCTGTTGTTGATTTGTCGTTATTTTCCTCGTTATTTGTATAATAGTTTACTGCACATAGTCATTGTTTTCATTTATTTCACTTCTATATATTTTGGGAACATCCTACTGAAAGTGCTAATAAGTCGGAGATATAGAAAAGTTATTTAATTTTAGCTGTCATTGCTTTCATTTGCTTTATTTTTTTATTACTCGTTTAATAGTATACAACATTTACTTTTATAATGTTTTTTTTTTTTTTTTTACTTTTAAACAGCTACATCAAATATATTTGATAATATACAGCTTGAAGTATTTTTATTTATTTATTTAAAATCTGTATATTACGGCAACATCTTTTTAAAAGTTCAATCAATCAGTCTGTATAATCCATAAATTATTTAAATTTATTGAAAAAATGTTAATTTTATTTATGTATTTATTTATTTAAAGTATAATTTTACATGTATTAATTAATTAATTTTATTTATAATTTTTTATTCTATTTATTTATTAGTTTTTTATAAATGTATTTATTTATTTAAAGTTTATTATAATTATTATAATAATTATTATTTGTTTTTTATTTAATTTTATTAATATTATATAATAATAATAATAATAATAATAATAATAATAATAATAATAATAATAATAATAATAATTATTATTATTATTATTATTATTATTATTATTATTACTATTATTCTATTTATCCTGATATGAACCGATTGAATGTCTAGTATAATACTGGGTGTCTGTTATCTGTCTACTCCAGAGAAACTCCTCTGCTCTCCTCTAGTGTGGAGTGTTTTCACTGGGCTTTGTGTGTAAGTAGATTGAGTTTAATCTTCTGAATTTGATTGTGTCTGTCGCTCGTCTTCATGTGGATGGATCTTTGGTTCTCTCTCTTTATCCATCCAACGAGACGCCGTTCATGTTGATGTTTCTCCGCATTCAAATAAAGCAGATGGAGTGTTTCTCTTCTGTCAGGTTTGCATGTTAAATGGCTCGTTCTCCAGAAACAGCTCAATCTGGGCGACTTTAAAAGCAATATTACTTTTGAGACACAAGCTGGGATGGCCATTAAAACCTGTCAAGTACCCAGAACTCGTCATGCACACAATTGAGCCATCAGAGCATTTTGATGACCTCTGAACAAGGACCTTTACACACACACTATAGATCTGCCACTGAAGACTTGCTGAATCTCACTCTCTTGCTGTGTTTGCTTTTATTAGTTTTTTTTCTATTTATGATGTCCATTCAGACGTTTTTTTAATTTTTTTATTTGCATAGATCTTGTATAGAACATGTTTATTTAAGGAAACCTATGACATTTAGAAAGGCACCAATAAAACAGTTATTTCTAATTTCTTATTTCTTAAATGAATAATATTGCTTTTTTGTTTTGTGTTTTTATTTTATTGTTGTTGTTGTTATTATTTTTTTATTATTATTGTTATTATTATTATTATTATAATAATAATAATTATTATTATTATTATTGTTATTGTTATTATTATTATTTAATGTTTTTAAATCGTTTTATTTTATTATTATTATTATGTAATGTTTTTATAGTTTTTATTTTATTGCTATTATCATTATTTTATGTTTTAATAGTTTTGTTATAATAAATTATTGTGAGCGTTATTATAATTATTACTATTATTATTATTATTATTATTATCATTATCATTATAATTATTAATATTATCGTTATTATTATTATGTTTTATAGTGTTTGTTTATTATTATTATTATTATTATTATTTTATTATTATTACTTTTTCATATTATTATTGTTTTTTTGTTTTTATATTATATTATTTTTATTGTATTATTATAGGCTTTTATATTATTCATTTATTTATTATTATAATTACTATTATTGTTATTATCATTAGTAGTAGTAGTATTGTCATTGTTGTTTTAGTAGCACGATTGCTGGTCAAGCCTCAGCTGGGTCAGTTGGCATTTCTGTGTGGAGTTTGCATGTTCTCCCCATGTTGTTGTGGGTTTCCCCTACAGTCCAAACACATGCGCTATAGGTGAGCTGAATAAGCTCAATTGGCCATAGTGTATGTGTGTGAGGGAGTATGTATGGGTGTTTCCCAGTGTTGGATTGTGGCTGGAAGGGCATCCGCTGTGTAAAACATATGCTGGATAAGTCGGCGGTTCATTCCGTTGTGGCGACCTGTCATTATTAAAGGGATTAAGCTGAAAAGAGAACGTATGAATGAATTATTATTATTATTATTATTATTATTATTATTATTATTATTATTATTATTATTATTATTATTAATTAATACACATCTTATTTCAATACAAATAAGTATTGTCTTTATTTATTTGTTGGCATTTGAAACCTAAATAATTTTTGTGTGTAGTTTCTAAACACTATAAACAGTGACGGCTGATATGAGGAACCGTATCATCTGCGCTGCTTCTCAAGGTCGTTTTATGCATTTATGCATTTATGTATTTTAAGGCTTTCGGAAAACTTTGCAGCGGATCAAGCTTATCTCAAGTCATTTTGGCATGTACTTCAAGGACGTACGCTTCTTCAAGGATGTTTTCTCATCTGTGTTGATTATTATAAACCATTGGAGAAAGCATGAAATAAAAAATAAATCATCCAGATGTGATGTTGCATATAGCCGGCCGGCATTCTGAGCATTTTTACTTCAGTGGGTTGTCTGTTTTCCCCTGAAGTAACACACCAGTAGGTTGATTCTTTTGCCATAGTTTTGGGTTTACACCTAAAATACCTAATAATGTGCATAATATTTTTCTACTTTTTTTGCAAGATACTAGTATTCAGCTTAATGTGCAGTGTTGAAGGCTTAACTGGGTTATTCTGTAAACTAGGCAAGGGTTAATTAAGTCAGTCATTGGTCAACAGTGGTTTGTTCTGCAGGCTGATGTTGGTCTTCATTAGCTCTGTGTTGTAGCTGCACACTTCCCGCAGCTTTGAATAAAGTCCAGCCACTGTCACTGACCTGTAAATGATGCATGCGCTGTTCCGGCACGTGTCACAGTTCGCCGTGTCCTGGCCTGTGCGATAGGAGAGCCTGCAGGACACAGAACAAAGCAAGAAATGTTTGATCTCAATATGACACTGAACACAGGACACAAGACAAGATACCAGAACACACAACAAAACCCAAACCTCATGAGCATAGGTGAGATTAGGAACGTAGATTGACCGGTAAATCGAGAGCTTTGCCTCTCGACTCAGCTCATTCTTTACCACAACAGACCGATACTGCAACTGCATTACTGCTGCCGCTGCACCAATCTGCCTGTCAATCTCACGCTCCATCCTTCCCTCTTTCATGCACAAAACCCCAAGATACATTACATTTTACATTTAGTCATTTAGCAGACGCTTTTATCCAAAGGGACTTACAAATAAGGACAAGGAAGCAATTTACACAACTATATGAGCAACAATGAATAGGTGCTGTTGGCAAGTTTCAGGTCTGTAACGTCTAAGAAGGAAAGCATTAGTAAATTATTATTTTTTGAGTACAGTTAGTGGTATATCTAGAGGCAATTGCAGATTAGGAAGGAAAGTGGAGACTAAATAGTTGAGTTTTTAGTCGTTTCTTGAAGACAGCGAGTGACTCTGCCGTTCTGATGCAGTTAGGGAGTTCATTCCACCAAATGGGCAGATTGAATGCGAGAGTTCAGGAAAGTGATTGCTTCCCTCTTTGGGATGGAACCACGAGGCGACGTTCATTCACAGAACGCAAGTTTCTGGAGGGCACATAGATCTGCAGAAGTGAGAGCAGATAAGACGGAGCAAAGCCAGAAGTTGCTTTGTAAGCAAACATCAGAGCTTTGAATTTGATGCGAGCAGCAACTGGCAGCCAGTGCAAACGGATGAGCAGCGGAGTGACATGTGCTCTTTTAGGCAAGGCAAGGCAAGGCAAGGCAAGTTTATTTATATAGCACATTTCATACACAGTGGCAATTCAAAGTGCTTTACATAAACAGTAATAAAAGACAAGTTTAGGAACATAAAATGCAGACAATAAAAATTATTAAAAACCGATAAAAACAAATTAAAATGAGTTAAAATAGGTTGTAAAAGAATGAAAAAGAAAATGAAAAACATAATAGTGCAATCTGTCGGACGTAGCACAGTGCTCATACAATAAAGACACAGCTAAACAGATGTGTTTTCAGTCTTGATTTGAATGTGCCTAATGTTGGAGCGCATCTGATCATTTCTGGAAGCTGATTCCAGCAGCGAGGAGCATAGTGGCTGAAGGCAGATTCTCCCTGCTTTGACTGAACTCTTGGAATTTCTAGTTTATATGATCCTAATGATCTGAGTGATCTGTTGGGTTTGTATTCAGTGAGCCTTTAGGTTCATTAAAGGCCACTCGTGCTGCTGCGTTCTGAAGCAGCTGAAGAGACTTGATAAAGTTAGCTGGAAGCCCCGCTAGTAGAGAGATGCAATAGTCCAGTCTGGAGAGAACAAGAGCTTGAACAAGGAGTTGAGCTGCATGTTCAGATAAGAAGGGTCGGACCTTTCTGATGTTATAGAGTGCGAATCTGCACGATCGAGCTGTTCTAGAAATGTGGTCAGAGAAGTTTAGTTTAGGGGTGTATCTAATGTATAGATGCATGAACTCCTACACCTGGGGTAAGGACTTCCCTTAAACCTGGAGATGGCAAACCACCTTTTTCCAGTGGAGCACCATGACCTCGGACTTGGAGGTGCTGATTCTCTCGGCAGCAAACCGCCCCAGTGCATGCTGAAGGCCTATGTTCGATGAAGCCAACAGAACAACATCGTCTGCAAATAACAGATGAGATCCTGTGGTCCCCAAACCGGACCCCCACAGAGTTCATCAAGTCACTCAAATCAATGTTGTGCTGTACTCAATCAGCATTAAGTGACTACAGGTTTTAAAATTCACACAAAAGAGAGGGTGCCTTAACCTTTGCACAGCCTATTTTTCAGTTTCAATGTAATTTCACACATATCAATACTGCTACACTACGTATTTCTGTCTGAAAAGCATGACATTGTCTAGCTTTATTTAGAAACCGAATGGCATTTCGCTGTGATCTTCCCTTATAAAGACAGAGCACACTATTATGGAGCCACAGAGGGGTGTCAAAATTTTTGCCTCTTGTATCTGAGATCTTGTCCTTTCGATCAAGACCCAAAGCTCTTGAGCATAGGTGAGAGCAGGAACGTAGATTGACCGGTAAATTGAGAGCTTTGCCTTTTGGCTCAAAAAGGATGTCAAAATTTTTGCATAAAACTAGATATAGTATGTATATATATTAGGGGTGTAACGATTTATCGTTGTACGATTTATTGCGATGCAAAAATGTCACAATATGCATCGTGGCGTTATGACGGTTTGATTACGATATGACGTCCGTTTTCTCTTATTAGTTGAGCTGTTTGCACGTGAGCTACGTTCCACCTGCTGTCGCACGTAAGTTCAGATTGCAGCAGCAGTAATGTTAGCAGACCAAGAGGAGTGGAGCTGAAAAAGAAGATGGCCCATCCTCTCAAAATCAGACGTCTTGCAACATTTCGGTTGTACAGTCATCGCTTTAGACTCGTCCACTTTTTGACACGCATACTGGGTCAAACATCCTAAGTTTTAAAGTCTTCACAGTGATTTACATACTTTGCACAGCGACATGAATACCTCCTAATGGGGTTGAAAGAGTCACATACTGTATTTATAAGGTACAATTCACCCTAAAATATCATTCTGTCTTCATATAATGTTCCTGCCGCAAAATCACACATGACGTGAGCTGACCGAGAGTTGTTACTACAGAGGGCGGACTTTGATAGACGCGCGCTTATGGCAAGCCGTTTTAGCATTTAAACCTTTGTTCTGACTATCCATAAATATATTTAGAGACATCTCTAATTATATTTTGACTAGTCATAATTATAATTCGACTAGTCAGAATGACAATTAGAGATATCTGCAATTACAATTGTACTAGTACGAAATCAGATTGGAGATATCTGCAAATATATTATGACTAGTCATATTCCTCCATTGACTTCCATTGAAAAATATTTGCAGATATCTCTAAATGAGTTTTGACTATAGTCACAATTGTAATTACAGATATTTCTAAATGAATTTAATTAAATATGAATTAAATACCTGGAAATGTTAATTTTTTTTTTGCACACACAAAAAGCGCAAGTGAACAAGCAAAGCCTTAAGCTCCTACTGTTAAATTCAATTGAATAGAAAGCTTATTTTTTTTGCACCTTTACTTAAATTGTTCCTTAATTTTGTCTCTTTCATTTCAATAATATTTTTAAGAAGTTTTTAAATTGTTTTATTTTCCAGAGACAGGCCTGTTTCATTTATTTTCTTAAAGAAGGTTCAGTTTAACAAGTTGAAACAAGAAATACATAAAAATTTTTTTACTTGGTAAAATTTGCATTTTAGTTTAATTTTCAATTTTTATTCCAAATATCGTGATACATATCGAATCGTGAACATTATAGCGTGATACACATCGTATCGTGAGCTGAGTGTATCGTTACACCCCTAATATATATTGTAGATACATATACAAACACTCCACGGACTGACGTTAACACTGCATTATATTGGATTCTGCATTAGGTTGTGGCCACAATAGCCATGATGGTGGTGTGCTTTTGACCTTCATTACTGTATATAGTGTTCAGGAGCAGGATTTGACCTTGCCGATACGCACATGTGTTTGTTGTACATGTGTTTAGTATGTTGACGGAAGCCTGCGGCCTGCAGATGAACATGAGATCTGATCTGACAGCAGAGATCATGAATGACCAGCGGACACTCCACCGCCGGCATCACTCCTTCATAAAGTCCTCTGGCTTCAACATCCAATCATCTCTGCTGGAGACTGGCTTAATGCCCACCTAAAATAGACCACCAGACCAAACAAGAGGCTGAGCTCAGAGCTTTCTTCCCTTCACTTCTTTTGACCCTTTCCACATTTCCGTGTTTCTCAGCTGCAGAAGTCGTCATAGTTTGGCAAACTTAGAGCGCAGTGAATACAGCAAATCATATTTTTGCAATCCTATTTACTGAAATAATAAAAGAAAAACTCCATGATGGTGTTATCAAGACTTAAAAAAAGGATAGAATTAGCATGAGACTGATGACGGCAGCCTGAAGAGAGAATAATATCTCTCTTCAATATCAAGTTTACTGTCCTGTCCCCCATAGATGCTGCATTACAAGCTTCTCGCATAATTGATAATTTGGGATTTG